AGAAAGAATTCAGTGAGAGACAAAGTGATAAGAAGTGGATTTATTTAGATAGAAACACACTCCACAGACAGAGTGTGGGCCATCTCAGAAGGTGAGAAAGGCACCGGGGTACGGGGCTGTCAGTTTTTATAGGGGTGGGTAATTTCATAGGCTAATGAGTGGGGGGAGTATTCCAGCTATTTTAGGAAGGGGTGGGGATTTCCAGGAGTTGGGCCACTACCCACTTTTTGATCTTTATGGTTGGTCTTGGAACTGTCATGGCGCCTGTGGGTGTGTCATTTAACTTGCTGACTTGAGCATATACTGAGGTTCAAGGTCTAGCGGAAAAAGTCGACTTGTCCGCCACCTTGGACCCATTGGGTTCTAATCAGTTTATATTATGTCCTTGGGCTATGTCATTCTTTCAAAGGTTGTGCCCTGCCTCCTTCCCTCCTGTTTCAAAAATATAGAATGGGCCTTCCCTGGTGGTGCAGTGGTTAAGGATCTGCCTGCCAATGCAGGGGATACGGGTTCGAGCCCTGGTCTGGGAAGATTCCACATGCCGCGGAGCAGCTAAGCCCGTGCGCCACAACTACTGAGCCTGTGCTCTAGAGACCGTGCGCCACAACTACTGAAGCCCGCGCGCCTAGAGCCTGTGCTGCACAACGAGAGGCCACTGCAGTGAGAGGCCCGCGCATTGCAATGAAGAGTAGCCTCCGCTTGCCACAACCAGAGAAAGCCCCTGCAGCAACGAAGACCTAACGCAGCCAAAAATAAGTAAATAAAAAATAAAAAATTAAATAAATTCTTAAAAAAAAAAAGTCAAACACAGGTCCATTCCCCAAGATTAGGGATTGGCAAACTTTTTCGGCAAAGGGCCAGGCATGCAGGTTTTGGTTACCATTACTCTTGTAGCACGAAAGCAGCCACAGGCAATGAGGAAACCAATGGGCATGGCATATTCCAATGCAACTTTAAATACAAAAACAGGTGGCAGGCTTGATTTGGTCCCAGAGCCCTCACATTTTGACGATCTCTGCCCTAGATATTTATTTATTTATTTGTTTTTTCCGAAACCCCCCTTTTTTTAAATGTATGCTTTTTAAAAATTTTTATTTATTCATTTTATTTATTTTTGGCTGCGTTCGTTGCTGTGTGCGGACTTTTCTCTAGTTGCCGTGAGCCGGGTGGGGGGGCTACTCTTCGTTGTGGTGCTCTGGCTTCTCGTTGTGGAGCACGGGCTCTAAGCACGTGGGTTTCAGTAGTTGCGGCATGCGGGCTTAGTTGCCCCACGCCATGTGGGATCTTCCCGGACTGGGGCTAGAACCCACGTCCCCTGCATTGGCAGGCGGATTCTTAACCACTGCGCCACCAGGGAAGCCCTGCCCTAGATAATTAAATAACCCCTGGTCAGGCCTGTTAAACAGTGCTCCAGTATGGCATTGTTGGGATATGCCACACACTCCCCCTTCCCCTTATTTCCAAGGTTGGAAAATGTTTCTTAGCACCCCATGTTCTAGCCGCCCCTTCCACAGTGGTGCCAGGCAGACCTGTCTCCCTTAGAATAAGGAGAAGACGGGAATGGCCATTGGGGCTCCTCTCGGGGAACACCAAAATTGAGCTGCTGAAAACTCTTTGGGGGGCTGACAACTTCTGGAGGTCAGGATCTCATGTTGGTCAGAGAATCAAAGGGCAAGTGTGACCAGAACTCCCTAGAGAGGACAGACTTCCACAGTGGCAGGGAGGGAAGCCCCTTCAGAGTTAAAAACCTCTCCCCATCCTGTCCCGTAGCCCAGTTAAGGCCAGGCCAGCCTCATCACCGCCAGGTCCCTTGCAATCCTGGCAATGGTAGTGTTGCAAGAAAAGGTGGGGCACAAGAGGATGGTCAGGTCCCAGGTCTCAGGTGAGTCCCTGGGACGGGTCGCCAAGTATGGGTTCTCGGCTTCTTGCAGGAAAGAATTCAAGAGCGAGCCACAGTAAAGTGAAAGCAGGTTTATTCAGGGATATACACATTCCATAGACTGAGTGTGGGCCAACTCAGAAGGCAAGAGGCCCCAGGGTATGGGGTTGTTTTTAGGGGCAGGGGAATTTCATAGGCTAACGAGTGGGAGGATTATTCCAACTATTTGGGGGAAGGAGCGGAGATTTCCAGGAGTTGTGACCCACTTTTTGGCCTTTTACGATCAGCCTTAGAGCTGTCATGGTGCCTGTGGGTATGTCATTTAGCATATGCTGATATATCACAATGAGCGTATAATGAGGCTCAAGTTCTACTGGAGGTAGATTCTTCGCCATCTTGGGCCTAATCAGTTCTAACCACTTCATGTCCTCAGAGCCTATGTCCTTCTTTTAAAGTTTGTGCCCTGCCCCCTTCCTTTCTCAGTAGTGTCAACTGAAAAAAGAAATGCACAACCTAAAGGTTGAGAGTTATGTTTTATTCGGTGGACATACTGAGGACTTCAAGCCGGGGAGGCAGCATCTTAAGTAACCCTGAGAAAACTGCTCTGAGGAGGTGAGGGGGAGCCAGGATATATAGGAGTTTTGCAACAAAGGGCAGGTAGTCTGAACATCAAGAGATTACTGTTAATTAAAGAAAAGCAGATATCTCAAGTTAAGGAATTTAGCGCTTTTCTTAGTATCGGAAGATGTAAGAGTCTGGGCTCACCAAAATCATTCCTTTGATACGTACCTCAGCTATCTGGGGCCAGTATCCCGTGTTTTCACATCCTGAGTTTCATCAAGCTGCACCCTTGGGGTTGGCTGCAGTCTGATGATGGCTAGCTGGCAGATATTCTTTGTTTCCTTCCTGAGTTCCCTCAGGGCTCACCGTTGGGGGCAGGGCTGCAATGGCTGACGGCTGCGGCATCTTTTGTTTACTGACGTGGCAGGCAACATTTTATTTCTCAGGAGCATCCTTGGCCCAAACTTTCCCAGGATGACTCAGATGGGTGAAGGGGCATCATCACTGTCATTGCCTTCTATTCCTCCACAGTTAAAGAGGCCCCCACCCACTTGGCCTGGAGAGTCAAGGTTGGTGTGGGCCTCCAGCAAATGACATTTTCTCACCCCAGGTCTCAAAGCTTAAGTAGGAAAGAGTCCTTCCCGGGAAGTGGTGGGGGAAGCTCCAGATTTCCTTGGGGGCTCCTCAGCTGTTCCCCAGCCTTGAAGAAACAGCTGGAAAGCTGTTAGGGCTTCAGTAGCTAATCTGAGCCCCCAGCCCCTGTTGCTTCAAACCGCTCAAGTGGGACTTTTATGCTAAGCTGTAGTCTGCAAAATATCAACCAACCAAAACCGACTCATACACTTATCCCTTCAAGTTCCTCTCATACCTGTGTTGACTGAAAACAAAACAAAAACAAGAATGCACAACCTAAAAGTTGCGAGTTATGTGGGACTTTTTAAAAAATATTTTTAAATTTTTATTTATTCATTTTTTGGCTGTGTTGGGTCTTCGTTGCTGCGCGCGGGCTTTCTCTAGTTGCAGCAAGCAGGGGCTCCCCTTTGCTGCGGTGCGCGGGCTTTTCATTGCGGTGGCTTCTCATGTAGCGGAGCATGGGCTCTAGGCGCGTGGGCTTCAGTATTTGTGGCTCACAGGCTTCAGTAGTTGTGGCTCGCGGGCTCTAGAGCGCAGGCTCAGTAGTTGTGGCACACGGGCTTAGCTGCTCCGCGGCATGTGGGAACTTCCCGGACCAGGGCTCGAACCCGTGTCCCCTGCACTAGCAGGTGGATTCTTATCCACTACGCCACAAGGGAAGCGCCTTATGCGTGATTTTTTTGGGTTTTGGCCATGCCACGTGGCTTGTGGCATTCTAGTTCCCTGACCAGGGATCGAACCTGGACCCTAGCAATGAAAGCACCGAGTCCTAACCACTGGACCTCCAGGGAATTCCTGCGAGTTGTGGGGGTGGTTTTTTGTTTGTTTTCTGGGGTTTTTTTTTGCCGCACTGAGCGGCAAGCGGAACTTCCCCGACCAGGGATCAAACCTGTGCCCCCTGTGGAAGCTCAGAGTCTTAACAACTGGACCACCAGGGGAGTTCCTGCCAGTTCTGTTTTATGGGGGACCTTACTGAGGACAATAGCCTGGGAGACAGCCTCTCAGATTGCTCTGCGGAACTGTTCCAAAGAGGTAAGGGAGGAGCCAGGATGCATAGGAGTTTTTTGCTGAAAAACAAACAAAACACTTGTAGTCAAACACCAAAGATTACCGCTAATCACAAAAGACAGACATCTCAAGTTAATGATTTCAGCAGTTTTCTTCGAAGATGAAAGAATCTGGGCATTGAAATGATTCCTAGATATGCATCTTAACTATCTAGGACCAGTATCCTGTTTTTCTCCATCCTGAATTCCCCTCAGGGCACACCGTCAGGGGCTGATGGCGGGAACATTCTTTGTTTACTGAAATGGCAGGCAACACTTTTTTGTCCCCACCAGCATACCCTTGCTGCCTCCCCGGCCCTCACCCAACTGTTCCCCTAACAAGAACCTCACTAGGCTACAAGCCCACCTGGTAAACCAGTAACAACCCAGCCAGGAGTCTTGTAGCAGCTTTTGCCTTGGCAGGTGGATTATCCATACACAACAGTCTAGCCCAGGGGAGGCTTCTTCTGCCCCGGCTGGTCACACCTGCCCACTAACCCAAGGCTCCATTCTCCATTCAAGAGCCTCTTGCCATGTATTCCAAGGGCACATTTCCAAAGAGGGATCAAGGGGCAAAGGGAGCAGAGAGAAGAGCTCAGGGTTCCGGCTTAGCCTAGACAGAGATGTCTCAGAACCAAAAGAGCTGCCCCCAGCGTCAGGAGCGTGCGTCAAAACATGCCCGCAGGTGAGCCCAGGAGAGGACCTTCCAGACTCACGCATGCGCAGAGCCACCAGCCACCCTCTCCCTCCGGCAGGCTTTTCTCGCGCCTGCGCAAGATCCTCCAGACCGATAGAGGGCAACGAGCCGATCCTCACGTGGGTTTGGCACTGCCGGCATAATCCGGAAGCAGCCGCTAACCCGGAAGTGGTCGAGTTATATAGGTCGAGTTCTGGAGGTGGCGGCGGCGGCGTATGAGGTTTGGGAGGCTGCTGCGACGCTAGGATGAACGCGCCTCCCGCCTTCGAGTCGTTCTTGCTCTTCGAGGGCGAGAAGAAGTAAGTGGAACCGGCCTGGGTGGGAGAGGGTAGCGGACCCTCGACCGTCAGCGCCCGCAGGTTCTGGGGCTTCTCTGCCCGTCCTCTGCCGGGGGGACAGGAGTCTGCCAAACTTAAGACAGTCCTAGGTGTTGGTGAGTCTCCCCATTTTGCAGATGAAACCGAGCTTCAGAGAGGTTAAGTAACTTTCCCAGGCGCACAGAAAGTGGCCGGTCTGTATTCGAACCCAGTGTGTCTGGCTCCAAAGTCCTTTTCCTCTGGGATCTGGTAGCCCCCGTCACTCGTCTTCCCGCCTGCCACCTTTATCCTCCTTGCTGCAGCCAGAATGATGACTCTGAGACTCACACCAGTGTGGAACCTCCAGTGACTCCTTATTGCCTGCAGGTGAAGGGAAATGTAATCCAGTGCTCAGATATCCTGAGCTTGGCTCCCGGATCCCCCACTTAAGAACTCTGTGCCTTTGGGCAAGTGACAATCTGCCTGAGGCCCACTTTCCTCATCTGGAAAATGGGCTTATTACTGTATTAAATCACAGAATTTTCTCTAAGCGGAGATTAAATTAAGTAATTTATGTAAAGCGCTTAGCCCAGGGCTCAGCACAAAGAAGACCATCTTAAACGCTGTTTTTTCCTTCTCTTAACTGCCTGGTATCCAGGGCTCTGCTCTGCGGCCTAGCCCCTACCAGACACTTCAGTCTCTCTTGAGAGCGGTGGTTCTCATCCGGGGGCCATTTTGTCCCCCCAGAGGACTTGGGCAGTGTCTGCAAACATTTTTGGTTGTCATAAAGGGGATGCTCCTGGCATCTAGTGGTAGAGATACTGCTAATACCTCACAGTGTGCCAGACAGCCCCCATACAGAAAAGAATTTTCTGGCCTAAAATGTCAGTGGTGCCAAGGTTGAGAAGCTCTGCTTTAGGAAGAAGGAGTAATCCAGAGGTGAGACGAGGGTCCCACAGAGTCAGGCGTGGCTGCGTTTGGGGTATAGCCACGGTGCTACTCTGAGTCACAGAGGATGTTATGGGATGAAGAGATGGGAAAGTCTTCCAGGAGGAGGTGGGACCTGAGCCTGCCTTGAAGGGCAGGGTTTAGACTCCGGGGAGGAGGGAAGCCCCGGCCCTCCCCAACAACCTGTTGCCTCTGCCTCTCCCTTAGGATCACCATTAACAAGGACACCAAGGTACCCAATGCCTGTTTGTTCACCATCAACAAGGAAGACCATACGCTAGGAAACATCATTAAATCGTAAGTTCCAAGTCAAAGGCTTTTGGGGGTTATGTTGCTCTTTGAGAGGCCAAGCTTAAGTTCCAGGAGATGTTCTCAAGTCTCTCTGAGCTCCAGGAAGTCCTTCTGGGTGCTGGCTCTAGGAATTCACACATCCCAGTACCTTTTCTTCAAAATGACAGTGACCAGTATCTGTTCACGTAGCCACTATCCTGTGTTGGCTCAGTTATCTGACTAAAGGAGGTGAATGTGCAGTGAGCCACAGGAAAGAAGGCCCGCTTGGGGCTCTGCTCACAAGCATGGAGACGCATTCAGCTTTGGCCACCCACCCCGCCCCCATTTGTGACAGTGACCTCAGTGACACCTGGCATTTTAAGATGTGTGTGCCAGAGATTGTAACTTAGTAGAATAAGGGAAGGAAGTGGGAGAGTGCCTCTGTGGTCATCCGGTGCCCTGGTGGGTTCCTGATAATTGGATGGTGGGTGTTTGCACCGGTGAAGTCCTGGCCTGGTAGGTGGCCAGCAGTAGGATTGGCCAGAGACTTGTCATTTCGCTGCTGAAAAGTGCCATCAGTGAAGCCATGCCTTTCCCAGGTTTGCACGTTTGAGACCGTGGGCAGGAGCTTGTCTGATCTTCTGGTATAAGTAGGGGGCGGAGTTGCCCATCTTCTGTGTGGATGCCTCCTGCCCAGCGCCAAGCCAGTGGTGCACCCAGGCTTTCCTGGGGCCCTGCTGCCCCCCACCCTCCCCCACTGTGTGAGCCCAGTGTTCCCACCTGTGCCAGCCCCCGCCCCCTGCCAGCGCTCACATTTCAGGGAGCTGATCTGGAGAAAACCCCCACGCGCCCAGGGCACAGCTCACGATTCAGGCTTCGCTTCCCCATAGCCTCGCGGACCAGGACCCCATGCGTGTGGACGGCAGCTGCCAGCCTGCATTGCCCAGAGGATTTCCGTTTCCACTTCATTAAGTGCTCAGAGCCTGGGGCCTGCTCCCCCTGCTGCCTTTATTTGCTGTGCCAGATGCTCTTTTTGGGCTGGGAATGGGGCTTTTTTTTCCCTGAATACTAGCTGGATTTTTACTGCCTAGGGAGGTTTCTTTGGGGCCGTTGAGGTTCCCTGACGTCTCCTGAGGGAAGAGGTTGCTGGAAACCGTGTTTACTAGGTAGGGTCGTTGATCCTCATGGATGTAGGTGTGTGTACGGGAGGAGTCCCCACACGCTGTATCCTCTTCACATGCCTGTCTTACTTGGACATTTTTGCAGGGGCCGTGGGGTGGTGACAACCACATCACACAACACAAACAACTAAAGATCGAGAGCAGCTGCATTTGCTTACAGGCCCCAACCCAATGGGAAGACCCTTGGTTAGAAGGCCTGGAAGGCCACAAGGGGTCAGAGCCCCAAGGGCCCTAGGCTCACCACCCACCCCCACCCCACCCATCCCTGTGTCTCAGGCAGCTGCTGAAGGACCCACAGGTGCTGTTTGCTGGCTACAAAGTCCCCCACCCCTTGGAACACAAGATCATCATCCGCGTGCAGACCACACCAGACTACAGCCCCCAGGAGGCCTTCACCAATGCCATCACAGACCTCATCAGTGAGCTCTCCCTGCTGGAAGAGCGATTCCGGGTGAGGAGCTGGGTGTGCCGGAGGGGCTGGGGTCAGTCTGGACACCAGCCTGTATGGCCACAGCTGCAGCGTGCTCATGCCCACACCTAGGACGATCCCCGGGTTGTTTCCTCTGATTTATTCAGTGGGGGAAATCAGGGCTGGGCGGAGGTGATGACAGAACAGGGGTGTACACCACAGTGTCCGGGAAGTGTGGACTAAGGGGTCATGGAGGTGAGGCCTGGGGCCTGCTGTCTGCACCCAGGGGTGGGACCTCACCCAGTGCCCAGGGTCTCCCTTTGTGCTCTCATGGTCCCTGTGGAAGCAAGGGGCCTGCTGCCTGGGGCTGTCCCTCCAAGCCTCTTCCCTGTGGTGCCGCTGCCCTGTGGCTTGTCTGTCTAGGGGGCAGCTCATCTTATCGTGGGGTACCACCATCAAGAAGGCCAGATGGGTGTGGTCACATTTGCTCACACAGGGGGCTTCAAAGTCCAGACACGATTTAGAGTGGGAAAGATCCACGGCTTGTCAGATTTTCAGTCTGTCAGTCATAGGCTCACCAGGAAGCACCTCTACTCCCCCGCCTCCCTGCCACCCCAGGCAGCAGGACCTGTGCTGCAGGGAAGTCATGGTGGGGTGGGTAGGGCTGGCTAGAGGGTCCCTGGGGTGCTGGCTACCCGGTGCCCGGAACCATTTGGGGCCCCTGGCCAACATCCTGGCAGCCCTTGGTCAGGGAGGCTGAGGCTGCGTTCCCAACATCCTCACCCGGCCATTCCAGCTCAGGGTGCCGCCTCCTTCCTCCCCGTCAGGTGGCCATCAAAGACAAGCAAGAAGGAATCGAGTAGTGGGCTGCACCCAGCCCTTCTCCAGGCACCAGGTGGACAAAAGCACTTCCTCCAGCCGTGGGCCTCCTTGTAGAAAGTCCCTCACCCCTGACACCGATGTGTCCTGTACACAGAGTCTGTCTTATCTTCCTAATAAAGTGTGGCAGGAAAAGACCCAGCTGCGGGCTGAAGCAGAGGTGACGTCACAGTCTTGGGTCAGTCCAGTGGAGGTGGGGGACCTGTTCCGGAGCCACTCGGGGGCCTCATTTCAGGACTGGCCCAGGGAGCCAGATTTCTGTCTGAGAGGGTGGCAGGAACAAACTCATTCTGGACAAAACCCGGGAACCTGGGGCTGCCCGGTGGCGTCTCAAGCAGAAGGAACTGAAAGCTCGCGCTTCTAGGCGTCCCTGCCCTATAGGAGCCTCAGCTGCCGGGCCTGCCTGCCTCACTCAGCGGGGGACACCTGATGGGGCCCACAGACAGCTCCCCCCAGGTTTCTTTTACATAGTAGACTTTAATAAAAAATAGTCACCGATAAGATCCCCCTCACGACCCTAAAAGCTGAGTAAGTTGCGTCCCACAGTCAAGGCTGGTTTCTCCTCCAGATGGCGACAATGTTGGAGTCCGTCAGTGCCGTGAGGTAGGTAAAGGTGGGGTCGGCCACCACCGTGTTCACCATGGTCCTTCCCACTGTCTGGCCCAGGGCCCGGGGCTGGGGCCACTTAAGGATCTGGAGGGGAGAGAGAGGGTGCTGGGCTCCTGCTTCCTGACACGGGCCCCCGGGCAGCCCCAGCCCCGGCAGGGACAGCAGTGTGCGTGCCTACCTGCGTGGGGGCCTGCGGGGTGGCCGGCGGTGGGGGCCTCTGCGCCACGAGGGGCCTGACGTCGTAGATCCACACGTTGCCCTCCTCATCCCCGCAGAGCACCATCCCCTCATCTGCCAGCAGAGAGATGGGAATCTGAGGTGGGGCGGAGCTCCCAGAGGTGCAGGGTTAGGGGTGGCCGGCAGGCGACTCACCAGGACAGGTGCTGAGTGAGAAGTAGGCGAGCTCGGTGGGTGACCACTGCAGCCGGGCCAGGACCACGACAGCCACTGTTGACCGGCTGCCCCGGCCCTGCCACGTCTGGCTCCAGCTCCACAGGCAGATGGTGCCCAGGCTACTCCCTTTGGAGGCTGTCGGGGAGAATGAAGAACTGTGCCCGGGGGCCCCTCTCCGGGCAACTCATGTCCCACAGTGGGGACCCCTCCAAAGCCCTCGGGCCTAAACTCCAGCCCAGGGAGAAGTGACCCCAGAAGGCCTGACCAGGGCCCATCTGGGTCCCAGGAAGCCAGACTGTCCCGAGCTAAGATCGCTCACCCACAACGTCCTCGTTCACGAACGCCAGCCCGTCCACTCTCCGTCCAGTTGCCTCAGAGCCCTCGGAGAAGACGAACTCCACTTCACACACCCTGTGGGGCAGCGGAAGTGCTGGTCAGCCAGGAAGGCTGCACACAAAGGGCCGCTCGCTCATTCAGACACCTGCTGGGCACTTACTCTGGGCCCTCCCTGGCTTCCAGGCCCTGGAAGGGGGAGCCAGCACCTGAGTGTGCCAAGTCACAGGCGGTGGCAACTTAGGGGGCACAGGGACGTGGCCAGGAAGGGCTCCAGAGCGAGGCAGCACTTCTGAGGCTGAGTGAGGTGAGCAGTTCACTGGCCGAGTGGGCGCTTCTAGGCCCAGAGACTTGGGCGGGGGGGGGGGGGGGGTTGGTGCAGGCTTAAAGAAAGAAAGGGAATGAATTAAAGAGGCATCTGGGAAAAGGAAATTGCAGGTAGAAGGCACAGCTGGCAGAAAGGCCCAATAGTAGGAAGTGCCTGGTGGTGTAAACCCAGCCAGGAGGCCAGAATAGATGGAGAAGAATAAAAGGGGAAGTAAGGGGAGGGAGTCAGAATCAGAGCAGGAACTTGTGCTCAGATCTTCTAGTGTCTGAGGGTTTGTTGTAAAGATTTTGGCTATAACTGTAAGTTGGATGGAAGGTAGCTGCAATGGTACTACGATCTTGGGTGCTAAAAGGATCAGTCTGGCTGCCACATTGAGAAAGGACACAGAAGTGGCCGAGGTAAAGCCAGGATTATTCTTAGGAAACTAATGTAATAACCCAGAGGGAGAGGATGGATGTTAAGACGATGGTTTTAGCAGCAGAGTGGTTAGGTTAGCTCTGGCTGAACTCTAGATATATGCTGAAGGTAGAGCCAACAGGGCTTAGTGATGGACTAGATATGAGAAAGTAAAATCAAGAAAGGAGTTAGCCAGATTGTTGGCCTGAGTAACTGAAAAAATGGAGTCTTTATCCACTGGAAAAGACTCTGTGTATTGTGTATGAGTGAGTGTGTGTGTGTGTGTGAGTGAGTGTGTGTATGTGTGTGGTGTGTGTGTGTGTGTGTGTGTGTGTGTGTGGTTTTGGGGGGGGGGGGGGGGGGGTTTGCTCTGACCCTGAGGACAGTGGGGAGTGGCTGCAGGCACACTGCTTGGAGAGGCCACCCAGCAGCTGCCCGGAGTCTGGAGCCAGAAAGGCAGCCGAGTATCAACCATGAGCAGCAGACACATCTGAGACGTGGGGGAGACGCCACAGGACTTGGGGACCAGGCAGGGAGGGAGGAGGCAGGCCCAGGGCTTGACTCCCAGGTGTGGCAGGGGGACACCACCACCACCTGGCTGGACAACTGCCACGGTTTGTGCTGAGGTGTCACTACAGTTCCCTCCTGCCACCTGCCCTAAAATTCTTCCCACGCTATTCCCCGCGCTCAGGATAAAATTCAGGATCTCACCAGGGCCCACAGGGCCAGTATATTCCCTGGCCCAGGCAACCTTGCCACATCACCTTGTGCCAATCCCTCCAGTTCTCCAAGCTGTGGCCAGCTCTCCCTGGTCAGCCAGCTGTCCCTGCCACTGGCCCTTTGCACTTCCCCCGTGTGAGCACCCTTCCTGCCTCTGCCCACCTGACTCCCTTGGGACTCATGGAGAGCATGAGCCTGAGGACCTGTCCATCTGCCACTGGTCACCTCGGAGTCCCCTCGGCCTCCCTGCTCCTCTCGGAGCACCTTATTCTCCTTCCTCTGTAGCTGATATCAATCGCACTCTGGGGTTTTAATGCCCGTCTCCCCCACCAGGCTCTGGGCCCCACAAGGCCAGGGGACCCCTGCTGAGCACTGTCTCAGGCCTTCCAGGTGATACAGAGGAGCTACACGCCTCCACCTGGCCCTTCTGGACCTTCTCCTGGCCCAGACACCATCCCGTTGTCCTCCACTAGCCCTGGGATGTGAGTTACTGTCCCCACTTTGTGGATGACAAAATCATGTTGGGCAGAGAAAGGTCACACTGCTGTTGAGTGGCAGGACCTGGGCAGTGATGAGGTGATCAAGCCTAGAGAGGAAATGGACCTTTCCTCAAGAGATGAGCAGGAGGTGGGGACAGGACACCTCTGTGAGGAGGCCCGTGAAAACAGCCTCTGGCTGCCCAGGGCAGGGGGCATGGTGCGGGCATCACTGCAACAGGCGTGCCTGGGGTCAGACACCTGGACTGGGGGCTGCCCGGCCCCGAAGACTGGCTTTCAGGGCACCCTGCCCGTTCTCACCTCCTCTTCTGAGGCTGGTCCAGCCGTACGTCCCAGCAACGGCAGCCGCCCTCACAGCCGGCCAGCAGGTAGGCATCCGGGCAGGAGGCGACAGGGCAGAGGCGCAGGGCGATGGAGGTGGTGTCGAGTGTGAGCAGCTGGCTGCCGGCAGATGAGAGGGAGGGCGTGAGGCCACAGACTCAGGTGTATGCCCATCCCCCAAAGTCCTGCCGCAAAGCATCACCTGGCCTGGAATTCGTAATCATGGTTGGGCACCCCGATGTCCCAGAGGATGATCCGCTTGTCATAGGAGGCCGCTGAGGAGAGGATGGGAAGGAGAGAGGTGGCCCTGAGGAGGCCCTGCTCCCTCCTGCTGGCTGCATCCCAGGCCGAGACCGCAGCCCCAAGGCAGGGAGGGAGGGCCATGACTGGAAGAAATACTCCAGGGCCTACCATCCTTATCTTACTCTAACCTATGTGCCCCACGCCAGGCAGCCATGTCCCGCAGTCTCTGCTCAGATATAACCCTCATCACACCCAGAGGGCCAGGGGATCCACCCAGGTCCCCAGGTCACAGACGTGGCCCAGGTTGTCAGAAACCTCCAAAGCCACAGAGCAGGTTGCGGGGAAGAGACAGAATCTGAAGGCTGGTCAGCTGTCCATGAAGCCTTGATGTTCCTACCGGTCTGCGCTGACCTCGGCAGCCGGCATGAGGCCCGCCAGCCACAGGAGCTCCCTGCCATCCCAGGAAGGAGTCCTGAGGCGTCAGGCTGCAGGACGGGTGCTAAGGGAGCCCTGGAGGCTCGGGGAGGGGGTCTTACTGAAGAGGTGGGTCTCATGTGTGGGGCTGAAACAGAGAGTCGCAATGGCCTTCTTGTGGGCCCGGATGAGCCCGCAGCAGAAGCCGGCCCGCACGTGCAGCAGCCGGACCAGGCCCCGTAGGCCTGCAGCTGCCAGCACGCTCCAGCGCTTCTTGTGGCCTGCCTGTGTGACCACTGTCAGGGCTGTCCAGGCCACCGAGAAGAACTCCTGGGGAGGGAAGGGGAGGGGTCACCGAGGAGCAGAGCTACACACGTGCACACGTGTGCAGGATCAGGCCTGGGAACAGGAGCCCAGCATCAAAGAAAAGTCACCTGGTGAGTAGGTGGCCGAGTCTGGCCCCCCAACCCCAGCACTCCTACCCCCAGGAGCCAAGGCTCTGCCTCCCACCATGCAGGAGCAGGGCCCCGGCACTCACCTCACTAGGCGCCTTGTACTTGTGCAGTACGATGCCCGTCTGGCAGTCGATCACACACACGGCCTCCCCGCCACACGTGGCCACGGTCTGGGACGTGGCCCCTGCCTGCCCTGTTTGAGAGGTCAGCCTGGTGAAAACGTTCTCTGTAAAGTCCCCCACTGCAGCCCCTCCTCCTGACTCTGAGGACACTTTAAGCTCTCTGTCCCTCCCGATTCCCCCGTCCACCCAGGTGGCCCCCTGCAGGTGGTATTCCCAGGCCCTGTGCCCAGAAACCTTGCTCTGCTTGTACCCTGTGGCCCTTGCCCTGCCTGCCCCCCAAGGATGTACCCTCATTCCAGGCTGGCTCGAAGGCGCAGGCCCAGAGCTGGGTCTCCAGGTCACGAGGGCTGTTGTTCTTGCTGTGGCACTGCAGGAAGTGCAGGGGCTCCAGCTGCAGGACAGTCTGTGGGAGCAGAGGGGGTTCATGGCTGCCCCCAGGCCTTGCTCCCATCACACACCCCCTGCCACCTTGCTAGCTCACCTGGCTGCCAGCAGAGCCCACAGAGCTGCCCTCCACCTGGGCCAACGGGGAGGTGCACACCCGCTTGTTGGGAGAGAGGTTGACTGGGACATCACCTGGCCGCTTCGAGGCCACTGGCCCGGCCTGTGGAGGAGGGGGCAGGGGCAACCCGAGGGCCTGGTGACCATGTGCCCATCTGCCCAGGGCTTCCTTCCTCCCCATCAAAGGCTGGACTGCACCCTCCCATGGGTACGGGAGGCCAGGGGTACCAGGGTCAGAGGGAACCAGCTCGAGCATAGGAGGCCATCTCCTGGGCACACTGCCAGGACGCCCTGTTTCCCTAATGCCTCCCTAGGCAGGAAGGGCCAGGGCAAGCCCTGGGAGACTGGAAGTCCCATGGAACCACTCACCCTAGGCTCCTGGATAGCGGTGGCTTTTGGGGGCCTCTCTGAGATGTTTGCCTCATGCACCTGAGTCCCACCAGAGGCCACCAGTTCCTCAGAGATCATCCGCACCTGGGTGGGGCCAGGCCATCAGGAAGCTAGGCACATCCCGGGGGCCTCCAGCCCCTCCCCAGACGCCCAGTCAGAGGGTGCTTCTCGAGCTGGGGAAGAGTCCTTCCAGCCCATAGGGCTTCCTTCCCTGACCTGCCCACTCCCCACATCCCCTCATGGCCAGAGACCTCCAGGGCCGCTCAGGCTGTGGCAGCCAGGGAGGAGCTGGGAGAAGCGACTCCCAGCACAGCGGGGTGAGGACATACCCTCCACTGGGTGAAGTCGCTGAGGGACTCGGGCCCATAGCGGACATCCCTGACGGCCGACCTCACAAAGTCTGCCTGGGCCTTCTCAGCCTCCTCCTCTGGGCTCAGTGCGGCCATGAACTTCTCCCAGTGAGCTGTGACCTGGCACGAGAGGGACCAGATTCAGGCTCAGCCCACCCCGGCTCTCCTGGACCTTCTGTGGCACCTCTGCCTCTAATCTCAGGGCCAGAGCTGTCTCAACCTCACTGCCTCTGGGACGTCTCCCCGAATCACAGCTTTCTCAGCTGCAGGTTGCACAAACCCAAGTAACACAGAGAGAGAGACAGCCCCTGAAGGGAGGAGCTGGCCCAGGGTAAATTCACTGTGAGAGCGTCCCAGCCTCCCCTGCCAGGCCCTGCCTGCAAGGCGGAGGGCAGGACCTCCAAGGACAAGAGGCTAAGCGCCACAGCCAAGCTCAAAGCAACAAGTCAGGCTAGGGGCTCAGGGCCACTTGGGGTTGGGACAGAGAGCCCCTGTAACCCCCCTTGGTGTCCTCCAAATGTCCAGTTCTGTCACTCACTCCTCAAGGCCCCCGACTGCTCCCAAGCACCAGAGACACCGCCCCGCCCCTTACCCGGCTGGTCAGCTCCCGGTTCAGGTTCTCCACCTGAGAGCAAGTGGAGGAAGCGTCCTTGCCGTTGACCTTACGGAGCTTGGGCAGGAGGAAGGAAACTTTCAGGTTGTCACTGACCTGGGGGATGAGGGAGGAGACTGGCTCGGGGTCACCCCAGCCTGTGGCTGAGCCCAAGCCCCCAGGGTGCTGGCCCGGGATGCGGGGCCGCCCACTTACTGTCAGAAAGGGGTTGCCCTCCAGGCTGAGCTCCTCAAGCTGTGGGAACTGGCACAAGACAGTGACATCGCCCAACTGGTTGTTGGCGCAGCGGAGGATGCGCAGGTGGGACAGGCCCAGGTTGGCGGGCAGCGTCTCCAGTTGGTTGTTGGAGAGGTCCAGCTCTTGCAGCTGCTTCAGGCGGCTCAGGAGCTTGGGGTCCAAGTGCTCTGAGAGCAGATTCATCCCTGACAGGCTGGGGAGAGGGGCAGACAGGGCGGGCTCAGGGGGCAGGCAGGCCTCCCACCCTGCACCCATGGCAGCCCAGGTTACCTCCGACGGCTTTTGCACCTGACATTTCTCCTGCGTGCATGGCCGATCCGCAACATTCCCCCACTTACTTTAACCCTGTCCCTACTTTATAACTTGGGGCAGCTGGCCCCCTCCAGGTTGCTTTTCCTGATCCTCTAGGGGGGCTTTCTGTGCTCCCCAGTCCTCTGTAATTCTCTCAACAGGTTGCTCCATATTCTTTCTGCAAGACTGTCTCCCTAGCAGCCCGGACCCTCTTCTGAGGTAATGCCGCTCCGGGCCTACCCGACCCATCTCATAACGAGAGAACGGCGTTTGTCCCGAATGATTAAAGACTCTGTCGAACCGACAGGGTGATAACGGGGCCGGGCAGGGAGAGAGGAACGGTCCCAGGCTTTCTTCCCGATCGTCCGCCGACCCAGGCCCTGGTGGAGGGCGGTGTGGCCCCGGCCCTTACTCCAGGCTCCGGATCTTCCCCAGCCGGTCGCACTTGGGTCGCCCCCGCTGGATCAGCAGCCGTGCCGACAGGGGGCCCATGGCGAGGAGGCGCGGCCCGCGGGGATCTGATCGACGGCACGCGAATCCGGTGCTGGCGCCGGCGGTTGTCCGATTCCAGGAGGTGGCGCCGAGCGAATCCGTCGGCGGCGACGACCGGAAGGAAGCGGCCGCGCGGACCTCGTACCCTGCGCGCGCACTACAACTCCCAGCGGCGCCCGCGGTCCCGCGCCTGCGCGCTGGCTGCCAGGACGCGGCGATGGCGGCTACGGCTGTGGCGACCCCTGAGGTACTTCGGGAATGCGGCTGCAAGGGTATCCGGACCTGTCTAATCTGCGAGCGGCAGCGCGGAGGTGACCCGCCCTGGCAGCACCAGGTGAGGGCTGGGAGAGGGGCCGCGCCCACAACTCCATTCTTCATCCGGGTAAACTGAGGCCCGGGTTGACCGTGAAGACGGGCTCCGGATCAAACCGTGTCAGCGGCCCTGGCGATGGGGGCGTTGCGGGGTGAGGAGATGAAGGCTTTGAGCAGTGGGCCTGGAGTGGGAAAGGGGCTGGGACGTGGATGCAGTCCGACCACAGCTCACCTCTGGAACCTGGGGGGAGTCTGGCAGCAAACGTAACCCCCCCGTGTCTGGGGCTGGGAGCTTCACGGGCTCGTGGTTAGACGACACGGAGAGAGTAGGGGGTGCTGAAAACCAGGGCAGAGGGCCCCAGAAGGCCTTGGACGGAAACGGGCAAGGAGGAAATTCATTCCAACGAATTAACAAAATAGGACTCAGAGGCTTTGAGCGGGGCAAGGGCCTTCCAGCTGGGCCAAGGCCTGGGGAAGGTGGATGATGCTTCAGGTGAGGGAGATGAGGTCGGCGGGGCCTGACCACGGAAGGCAGGCGGGACCTGTTCTGAGGGCCATGGCGAGCTCTTGAGGGTTTTAAAGGAAGTTACCTGTGAATTTTAGAAAGATCCTGGGAAGGGGAGGGGTGGATAGGAAGGAAAGGAGGCTGGGAAGCCAGTGAAGAAACTGTCACAGTGTCCGTGATAAAAGCTCAGAAGGTCCTGTGAAAAACAGTGGCGGTTCCTCAGAAAATTAAATGTAGAGCTACCATATGACCCAGCAATCCCACTTCTGGATATGGTTCCAAAAGAATTGAAAGCAGGGTCATGAAGAGATATCTGTACACCCACGTTCGTAGCAGAGTTACTCACGATAGCTAAAAGGTGCAAGCAGCCCAAGTGTCCACGGACAGATGAAAGGAAGAACAAAATGTGGTCCATCCGTACAGTGGAATATTATTCAGTCCTAAAAAACGAAGAAAGGAAAGTCTGGCACGTGCCACCACACAGATGAACCCTGAGGACGTTATGCTGAGTGAAATTAGTCAGTCAGAAGACATACTGTATGATTCCACTTAGGTAAAGCATCCAAAGTAGTCAAATTCACGGGGACAGAAAAGAATGGTGGGTGCCAGCAGCCGGGGGAAGGGAGGGGGAGAGGTGTTAATGGGTAGATTTAGTTTTGCAAGGTGAGAAAGTTCCGGAGGCTGGTTGTACAACAATGTGATATACTTGACACACTGAAATGTGCACTTAAAATGTGGCTGAGGATCAATTTTAAATGTATAACATATATGTGGTTGTATATATTTGACCACAGTTAAAAACTTTCTTAAAAAAGAGTTTTTCAGACCTTGCCAAAGGTCTGAACTGTGCCCGTGGCCGTGGGTGTGGAGGCCCAGGGCACCGCGGGGGTAGCATCTTCCCAACCTGATGGCTGAGGGACGAGTGAAATGTACGGGATGACTCCTTAACTTTCCGTGTGTCCCATGTGAGGTGCCAGGAGACAGAGACATGGTGGTTCAGGGTTGGGGTGTGGGTGCTGGCGATGCCTTTAGAACATAAAGCGGGAGGACGCAGAATTCACTGGGCAGGGAACACCTCAGACTGCCCTGTAGATCTGACAAAGTCCTGGCCAACCCAACCGGAAGCTCTGGAGCAAAGACGGCCTGGTAGGCAGTCCCACGTTGGGCAGAAATGGCCAGGCCTGTGCTGGGTCACTGGCTGGAGGCCCAGCAGAAGGGTGGCCTCTGCTCAGAACCAGAGGCAGATCCTGAAGGCCCTGCCACAGGAGGTTGTCAGCCTGGCACTCCTCTGGGTGACTGGCAAGTTCTGCTCTGGTTTTTGTGGGGTTTTTTCCCAAAATTTTATGTACGTATGTATGTATGGGGCCGTGCCACTCAGCTTGCGGGATCTCAGTTCCCTGACCAAGGACTGAACGAAGGCCATGATGGTGAAAGCACCTAATCCTAACCACTAGACCACCAGGGAACTCCCAGTTTTGCTCTTTTATGATGGGAAATTCAGGCAGCGCCAGTGGCTGCCACAGTGTAGGGCAGGCCCCAGAGACACCCACACCGTGGACGGAAAGGGCTTCTCCCTCTGGCCTCCCAGCATGTGCTGCTCACCTCCTGGGCAGGCCCGTGGCCTCAGCTTTAGTGAAGCAGATTTCTCCAGCTCCTGGTCAGGGCTGGCTGCCTTCACACATTCCTCCCCTTTAGCCCTCACCAGCCTGGGGAGGGCAGACAGTGCCCCACAGCAACACAGGAACTGTGGCCTCGGAGGCTGCGCCCCAGCTGTGCAGGCTCGGGCTAGTTCCTTAACTTTGCTGAGCCTCAGTCACCTCATCTGTAAAATGGAGAACGAAAGAATGGTTCTGCATACTCTCTTCCCTTTCACAGATGGGAAAGTGAGAAAAGCAGGGGCTGAGGGCCTTTCCCTGGAGGCGGCCCTGGGCAGGGGTCCCATCTCCCTCTAGACTCCAGCTGCCTTCCAAAGTGCTGCAGGGGATGGTGCAATGCTGGGTGGGGCTGCTTCTCGGGGCGTGTGTGTGCAGTGTGCGGAAGGGCTCCAGTGGCTCCAGGACCGCTGTCCCCTGTCTTTTTTTTTTTTTTTTTTTTTCCGCACCACGTGGCATGCGGGATATTAGTTCCCCGACCAGGGATCGAACCTGGGTCCCTCTCAGTGAAAGCTAACCACTGGACGGCCAGGGAATTCCCACCCCTGTCTTTCTTTTGCAGAAAACACACCGGTTCATTTACCACGCTGACACCGGCTGGGCTGTGGGGGCCGAGGAGTCCGACTTTGAAGGCTGGGCCTTCCCCTTCCCAGGCGTGACGCTGATCGAGGACTTTGTGACCCCGGCGGAAGAAGCTGAGATGGTACGGCTGATGGACCGCGACCCCTGGAAGCTCTCACAGTCCGGGCGGCGGAAGCAGGTAGGCTGGGCCAGAGCTGGGCCAGAGAGGGCAGTCACACCACAGGGCCGTGCCAGGTTCCTGACCCCAGAGCCCCTTTGCTCACCTCCCTCTCAGGGCCTTCCTTTGCAGCCATCTCCCACCACTCCCCAGAGCCATTAGGCGACAAGCCCGCCGACGGGGGTGGGGGGGTGGGGGTGGGGGCAGGGCTGCTGAATGGGGTGTGTTGGAAAGGGGCAGGGCCAGGGGCCTGGGCATGGCCTGCTCACCTTTCCATGAGGCGGGGCTCAAAGGCAGACGGCACCTCAGCTCTCTCTGCCCTCTCCCCAGCTGGCCTAGTGCTGGTGACCCTCACAGAGGGTTTCTCGAAGGCTGCCAGTTGCCCCCCATCCCCCTACCCCCCTGGCCAAAGTTCTCCCCATCAGTTTCTAGTCTCCGCAGCCCTCTTCCCACTGGCACTTGGTCCTCCAGATCCTGAACCTTCCCCTGCCGGGCATCACAGTCCCCTCCGCCCTGGGGCCGCTCTTCTTTTCTGTTCTCACCCCAGCAATCCTTGCCCCTCCAGGACCTGCGGACCAGCCATCGGCCGCCTTTCCACATCCCCTCCCCCCGTCATGTGTCCTCACCCATCTTCAGTCCTGTGACCAGTTAGTACAGGCACTTGCTCAGGTGCCCCTCGCCCTTTCTTCTCTTACTTAGGCAGGCTCTTTCCGCTCACCCACAGCCCTGGTCGGGTCCAGCACCCGCGCCCCCTGCTGGTGGCCGCCCTGGCTCTGCCTCTCCATCCCGAGCCGGGCCCTTCACGCTCGGCAAGTCGTTCGCTTTGCTGCCCTCTTTCCAAACCTCTCCTTCCCCTCCTCACTCCCCCCTGACGACCGGGCCTCTCTGAGGGAACAGGTGCATCTACAGACGTTCCCTTCTCGCCTGTGCCCAGCTTCTTCCCAAGCCCCACTCCAGCTGCGCACCGGATGCTGCCCCTCTCCTCGGAACTCCTTGTCCCGCATCGCCCTCTTCTGTCCTCAAGGCTGGCTCTTTCCCACCGGTCTCCCAGTAAGCTCTGTCTCTCTCGTCTCTGCAGCAGAGCTTCTCAGAAGAGCTCTCCGTTCTCTTCAGGTCCTCTCTTCTTGCTGCCGCTTAACCCACTCAAAAACTGCCTCCATCGCCCACCTCCTGCCTAAAGCCAGCGGCTGGTTCTCGGGCTCAGTCCTCAGGCCCCTCCTTTTCCTTCTCCAGACACTCCTTACTGATCTCAGTGAGGTCCGGCCCCGCACGTCGGTGAGTTTGGGGCTCCTGCACTCGTATCTCCAGCCCTGGCATCCCTAAGCTGAGCTCCACCTTCGCAAATTCCATCTTTCACCTGCTCAGGCCAGAAACCCTGGATCTTTCCACTTTCCTCTCTTTCATTGGTAATTTCTGTCAGCTCTGTATTCCTTCAAAACATATCCTGAATCTGAGAACACACACCCCCTGCTGCTGCCACCACCTGCCTCTAGCACTTCCTGGGCAGCCCTTGGTCCTCCTCAGTTGGTTTCAGTAGGGAGGAAGTGATCCCAGCGACATCCGGTCGGATCGAGTCACTGCTCTGTTACAGGCCCTCCAGGCCTCCCATCTCAACGTAAACACAGAGGCCTTACCATGCCCCAGGAGGCCCTGCACTGACCGCCAGCCCGATCTTTGTCTTCTCTGCTGCTGTCTGCTGTCCCCACGGCAGTCACCCCCACCTCCTGGGTTCCTCGGAGTCTCCTGGCCGCAGCCCGCCTGTCCCAGCCTTTCTGCCTGCTGCTGCCAAGGAGTTGGGGTGGCCTGCAGGAGCCGGCGGGCCCCGGCACTGAGCCATGCGGAACAGGGAAGGAGAACGACTCCAGCAGCAGATGGAGCCACCCTCCACGAGGCAGGGACCCGAGGGAGCAGGGGTGCGGCTAGATGCCCCCCATCCCTCAGGCCACAGACCTGAGGTGTGTCTACAAGGCTCCTCCCTAGGGTGTCTTTGTTTTGTTTTTTAAATAGAAGCCACCCACCATAAAATCCACCCATTTCAAGTGTATAATTCACTGGTTTGGTTTTCAGTGTATCCACAGTGTTGTGCAACTATCGCTACTGTCTAGTTCTGGAACATTCTCGTCACCCCAGAGGAAATGCGTACCCATTACCAGTCACTCTGCATTCCCTCATTTCCCAGCAAGCACTAATCTACTTTCTGTCTCTGTGGATTTTCCTCTTCTGGACATTCGTATACCTAGGATTATGTAATATGTGACCCTTTGTATCAGGCATCTTTCACTGAGCATAATGTTCTCAGGGTTCATCCCTTTGCAGCCTATATCAATGCTGCCTTGCTTTTCGTGGCTGAATATTATTCCATTGGATGGATGGACCACTTTTTGTTCATCATTCATCTGTTGGTGGACACTTGGGCTGTTTCTACTTTTTGGCTGTTATGAATAGTGCTGCTGTGACTATTCTAGTACAGACTTCTGCGTGGACGTGTGTTTTCAGTTCTCTTGGGTGTGAGGCCAGGGGTGGAACTGCTGCTGGGTCCTGTGGAGACTCTTCTCCTTTGTGGTCCTGAAGCCCAGTTGCACCCAGTGTTGACCAGATGGGTAACGCTGCCATGGGCCGGCCTGCCCTGCCCTGCCTCACTCAGCTCCTTCCCGACTCCCCAGCACCACGTCCTGGGGACGCCACCCGTGCATGGGCCTCTTGTCTCCCGCTCTGCTTCCTGGGGTACCTGGGCCGAGACGTCCCCCCGATGCTTCACATCCCCCTCCCCTGCTTTGTTTTCCTCCTCAGCATTTACCGCCATCTGATGTTTGCTGTTTATATTTATCTCCTTGGTGTCGGCCTCCTCCTGCCAGAATGCCAGCTCCGTGAAGTCCGAAATATATGCTGGTCTTGGTCACTGTGATTGGCTGCTTCAGCCCTGGCGCGTGATGTCATTTCTGTGAACTCAGACAATTTCCCACTTCCTTTTTGTCCTCATCCTTCAGGACTACGGTCCCAAAGTCAACTTTCGGAAACGGAAGCTAAAGACCGCCGGCTTCCGGGGCCTCCCCAGCTTCAGCCGGGAGGTGGTGCGGAGGATGGGCCTCTACCCTGTCCTGGAGGACTTCCGGCCCGTGGAGCAGTGTAACCTGGACTACTGCCCGGAGCGGGGCTCGGCCATCGACCCGCATCTGGACGACACCTGGCTGTGGGGGGAGCGGCTGGTGAGCCTCAACCTGCTGTCCCCCAGCGTGCTGTCCATGTCCCGGGAGGCGCCCGGCAGCCTGCTGCTCGGCCTGGCCCCGTCCGGCTTCCCGCAGGCCCCGGCGGAAGGCGCCACGGCCCCCGGCAGGTCTGTCCCGTGCCGGGAGGTGGAGGTGGCTGTCCCGTTGCCCCGCCGCGCTCTGCTGGTGCTCACGCGAGCCGCGCGGCACCAGTGGAAGCACGCCATCCACCGCAGGCACATCGGGGCCCGCCGCGTGAGCGCCACCTTCAGGGAGCTGTCGGCCGAGTTTGGCCCCAGCGGGAGGCAGCGGGAACTGGGGCAGGAGCTCCTGCAAACTTCGCTCTCCTTTCAGGGGAGACCCACGTGAGCCGCCTCCCCGAGGACGGGAGCTAGCGCTGGGCCTGGCCGGGGGTGCTGGCTCCAGAGTGGACCATTAGCCAGCATTGAAGGGGGCGCCCAGCCCGAGGGTCTTTCTCAGGTCTTAAGAGAAGACCGCTTGACACCCTGGTGCCCGGCAGCGCGAGCCCTGTCTGCGAGCTGGCTCGACGGGAACGGGCCTCAAGTCGGTCCCCTTTGACCTGCACCACGGCCACTTGCCTGGGTTGTTTAATTTGTCACAGCTTGAAGGCAGTGGCATACTTTGAGCTTAAAAATCGTTGGTACCACTTCAGGTCATTTTCTCCTTTATCTGTCTCTCAACAAGGTTGCCCAATGTCCCAGCCTGCAGGCCCTTCATTTATTTATTTTTTATTTTATTTGTTTACTTTTGGCTGTGCCACGCAGCTTGCAGGGTCTTAGTTCCCTGACCAGGGATTGAACCCAGGCCCACAGCAATGAAAGCGCCGAGTCCTAACCACTGGACCGCGAGGGAACTCCCAGGCCCTTCATTTAGGGACCGTGTTGGATTGGAGACCAGGATGGGTAGAAGGTGTGAGGTTATTACTGTTTCAGGCTTCAGAGCTGCTGACAGCTTCTGAGTTGCACTCTGCCCGGGTCGTGCTTGACCCCATGGGGTGCGGGATACGGAACACTGGTGACCAGCGGTTGGCAGGGAGGGGCTTCCAAGCATCACCTCTCTCCACGGCGTTCCACCAAGAGCAGAGAGCAATTCATAACTTAAGTACTTATTTATTCAGTTCAGCCCAGGGCAACTGTTTTAAAAAATCCATACACAGGACAGGGGGTGTGCACACCGCATGTGGTCTCCACAGCGTCATGCATAATGAATTAATCGGCACAAGACAGGTGAGCAGTGCAGATGAGCCTCGATCTGCTCAGGCTTAGGCAATTTTATCCTCAACAGACCTTCCTAGAAGACACTGAAATACATTCTGCCCTGGCAGTTTGTCTAAAATAGAAACGCTTGAGTTTTGAAACTTCTGGTCAGGTACTAAACGGAGACCATGTTCCACTTTGGAAGGGGCCTCAGCGTATCTGCGGGCACTTGTTTTTATGAGCACCGGGAAGGCTCTGCTCAGAGGAAAACAGGGCGAGCCCACGCTGGCTCCGGGGCGGCCTGTGGCGCCTCTCACTCACCACAGAAAGGCCGCTGCACTTGGAACCCCCTTCACAGTCAGGTTAAGCCTCCGGAAACCAAATTTCTAGCCTGCAATTTGCTTCCCCCCCCCTCCCCAGACTGCCCTGCTGCAGCTCCAAATGGCAGCTGATTCTCCAGTCCTGAGGGTGCCCCCCCTGATCATCAGTCCCCAGGCCCACAGTCATCTCTGTTCTCACAGAAATTGTTTGCCTCATGCCTCTGGGAACTAGAAAGGCTGGAGCTGGGAGAGCTCGCTGGAAGAAAGAACAAGAAATTACAAAAACGTTATTCTCCCAATCAGTGTCGAAAACGTGATTATGTGGCATCTTTCCTACCCATGTGGCACTGTCACTGGGCATCTAGTGTCTGACCCTGATGTGGCCAGGCTAGAAAAACTCTGCCCATGGGCCAGGTGTAACAGCTGGCCCCTGGCTGACACCCAGAGTGTGCTCGCCGCAGTCTGGGGAGCTCGGCACTCCGTGGGTCTGGCACACGGGGCAGGGGCACCGGATGGCCCAGGAAGGTGGCCGAAGTGAGCCCAACAAGGCCCCTCTCAAAAGCCTGAGGCCAGAGGAAGGGGCTGCTGTCCCCTCCCAGCAGTGGGGAGGAGCCAGCCTGTCTAGTCCCTGCCAGGACACAAAAGTGGCCGTCTTGCAGTGCCGCTGACATTCTTTTGCAAAGCAAACACATTACACCAGACGAGCCTTTTCAGCAAGGCTCTGGGAGAGGAGACATGCGCTAGGGAGCAAGCAAGTCACGACAGATGTCTGCAGAGGATGCGAGGAACAGGCCGTTTGGGAGGCGCCAGGGCTCTCCTCCGGCCCAGCAAGACACGATGTCCAGGGTCCCCGTAAATGCCATGACTTGCACTGGTGATTCTCAGCATTCAGAGTTACGTGTTAAGGTTCAGGTTCTCAACAGGATGTCACAGTCCCAGAAACCTCAGCCAGGCCTGCCCGCACTTTTTGGTACAGGCAACCCAGACCCCACAGAGATATCAGGCTGTGGACAGAAATGCCGTCAGAGCATGAAGTCCAGTGACTGAAACAAAAGAAAAGGCACCACTCTGGTGGCTGCTGGCCAGTGTGGTAAATGTGGTTCTTAAAAGTGGCCCAGGGTGCAGCAGGCTCACACATAAGCTGAGCTGTAGCATGTATGTGTTCGGTCCAAGAACATGGGCTCAGGTCTACCAGACGCCCTTCTCAAAAAAACACCAGAACCTGTGCTGCGTATGGCTGCACAGAAGTGTGAGCTGGGCCTGTGCTTGCGGCCAGGAGGCCCAGGAGGGGAGCGCTACACAGGGTCTTGCCTTCCCTGCCATCATTATAAGCAGGACCCACGTCTGGCCAGGGCGGGCCGCTGATGCTACCACCCACAGACTAGGTCCGGCCATGGCTTTGTCTAGACAGGAAGTCCCCCAGCTGCCCCCTCCCGCTGCCGGGGACCACAGGCAGCAGGGGGGTGGGCGTGCTTGGGTGCTTGGGTGCCTGGGCGGGAGAGCCCCTGCCTCCTGCAGCCACGGCCCGGAGGGTCAGCTGGCAGCTCAGGGGACAGTCTGTGGCCGAGAGACGGAGGCCTCTGGACTTTGGGCCCTTTCCCCAGCCTGGTGGCCTCGCTGAGTCAATGTGGCCAGGGATCCAGCTGGCAGGGAAGAGAGAATCTGAGCCCAGTGTGCCTCAGAGCACCCCTCAGTTAACAGCCACCTCCAGTGGGCGCCCACAGACTGGCCTCCGCCCCTGGACGGCTCCCCCAGGGCCTGACAAGTCTGACGCCTGCTGAGCACCCACCACGTGCCCTGGGCTCCTGCCTTCCTTCCCCAGCCCCACGAGCCAGGCCGCCCAGCTCCCTCCAGGGCAGGGAGGGAAGCACCAGGCCAAGCTGTTAGCCTGTGCCCCGTCTAATCGTGGCAGGGTGGTACCATCAGACGTGCCACCCGGCTGCCACCAGCCCAGCTCAGGAGTCACAGGGCAATCCCTTCCCTGAACCCATGGTGCTACCCCGACTCTCCAGGTCCCTGCCAGGCTCCCGGCCCCCACTGGCTGCTCGCTCCAGGTCTCCGAGGTGACCCGTGACCACCCGGTGCTACTCGGAGCCCGGCCTCCAGCCTCAGGAAGTGCCCAGGGCCAAGGACTCGTCCTTTCTTTGCCCTGAGCTCTTAGCATCAGTCTCCCGTTTAACTGAAGATTTCCATCTTCTGAAGGAAAACGATCCAGGTCTTACAGCATGAAGACAGGAGTAGAACTTTGGTCTTGAACCACCTGGCAGTGTCTCGGCAGCCTTGCTGGCAATTTGCATTTCTGAAATTCCCCATACCGCAAACGAGTTCTGTTCCCTCCCGACGCGAGGCGTGGACGCTGAGCTGACGCGGATGCAGCCGCGGACACACGGCATCGGTCCTGCCCAGGAGCGCGCACGCTCACACCACCTGCAGGCTGCGCTCGTGCCCATCCAGCTGCACTTTGAGCTTGTGCAGCTCCTCGATCTCGCGATTGTGCCGCTCGGTTTTGTGGCGCACCAGCGAGCGGTAGAAGTGGATGGTGAAGACCACGAAGATGAGGCCCACGGGCACCATGATGATGGTGGACACCAGGGCGGCCTGCCAGCCCGTGTGGCCCCCGGGGCCAGGTAGGGGGCCAGGCTGGTGGCGCGCGTCCACGGGCAGGAATTTGATCCAGCAGAGCAGTACCACCTCGGCCAGGAAGAGCAGGATGCCCAGCACGGTGGAGAAGCCCCAGGCCAGCTCGATGTAGGGGTGCATGCGCTCGTGCGGAGACTCGCTGATGGAGTTGAGGTTGTGGATGTTGCTCACAGCCTCCACGTTGGGCAGGATGCACGTGCTGATGAGCAGCGCGAACAGGTGCACGGCCACCAGCACCGTGGTGCACGCGCTGAAGGCGATGAGCAGCGGCCGCGGGTACTGGTACTGAGTCTCCAGCTGCACCTCCACCATGGCCACCTGCAAGGCAAAGGGGGCGCTGGGTCGGGGCACCCACACAGCAGAGGGCGCCCTCCTCGCTGATCAAATATTTTGAACTTTACTCTTTTTTTTTTTTTTTTTTTTTTTTTTTTTTAAAAAGAACAAAAGAGAAGGGTTCAGATGCTGAGCGGCTGAGAAACTAACTTGTATCCACTACAAACTTCCAGCTCCACTGGGAGTTTTTTGCCAAAGATGGACGTCTTCTCCTGGACTCCTCTCATTGATCCACGGAGCTTTATCCAAGACAAGCTGTGTAATTTGTGGGGTCCAGTGAGAAATGAAAATGTAGGGCCCCTTGTTTAGAGATTATTAAGAATCTCAAGATGGAGACAGCATGGGGGCCCTTCTAAGCATGGGGCCCTGTGTTACTGCTCAGGTTTTTTTTTTTTTTTTTTCTAAAAAGTACAGAAGAGGCCAGAGAAGCACTGGGCAGGGCGGTGATCGCACCCTGGATGCCAAGAACGTAGGTATATTGGGGTGCCGGGCTCCGGCCCAGGGCAGAGGCCACACTTCCCTGGGAACATGCGACTTTGCTGTTGATATCAGAGCGGGGCTGCAGTGGAGCTTAGCTGCAAAACAACTGATGTTTCTCAAAAAAACAAACCTGACCTTTCAAGAGGTAAAAAGAAGTAATGATGGAGGCTCCTGATGGTCCCTAGGCTCACAGCCGTACACTGGATGGCCTCACGCAAGCCACAGGGTGCCTCTCTCAGCTGAGGCCAAAAGCAGGAGCGAGCAGCCACCTCTCCAAAGGCCGGGAATGGTCATATAAATGACAACAACAGTGAGGAGGGGAAGCTGGGAAGGGGCTGGGCTGGGACAACTGAGCTGAATCGGCAGCAGCAGTCAACGGGAGCAGGAGGCCAACAGGAAATATGTAAAAAGGGTAAGTCAAGAGACAGCAATTCCCAAACATCATTAGAGATGTGGAGGCGGAGGGGCTGCTGGAGGCTGCCTCCAGGGGTGGGAACGCGGGGTTGCCGGGGTTTGTCACAAGCCCTTTGCAGTACTTAATTTTAAACTGCGCATGTGCTAACTTTGAAAAAATAAAAATGACTTTTAAATGAAAGGGAATAAAAGGCTCACAGAAGGACCAGAAGCCCCAGCTTATCTCTGTAGCAGTGAGTGTCTTATTTAGGCTGGGATCTGCTCACCACAAGCCCTAAGGGGCTTTCAAAGTCCAGACTGGGCACCAGGCTCCTGCCACGCTTCCCCAGGTCACACCCAGTCCACTCCCCTGCAGCCCACATCCCACCCCAGCTCTGTGGACCAACCCCAGTGGAGGGTTTAGTCCAGGCTCACCAAGGGCCTTCTCCCAGGCACCCAAAGGTAAGAAACCACACCCGTCAAGGAAGGGGGAACAGGGAGGCAGAGAGAAGCCAGAAGGCTTTTCCACTCACACTGTCTCTTAGAGCTGAGCCATCCCTTTTTTTGTTGTTGTTGTTGGTTTGTTTTGTTTTGGGCCGTGCTGCACGTCTTGCGGGATCTTAGTTCCCCGACCTGCCACCAGCCCAGCTCAGGAGTCACGGGGCAATCCCGTGGGAACCCCGGGGCCACAGCAGCGAAAGCGCCAAGTCCCAACCACTGACCACTGGACCGCCAGGGAACACCCAGAGCCATCTCTGTTTTCAAAAATTTACAAGAAAGATTTCATAACTTCTAGCAACTACTTCCTCTTAGAGTGAGGACCTCATCCTCTCACTCTGTCTTCAGTGAAGATGAAACATTTGGTAGGTAAAACGAAGATATGCCAAGTCCTAGTGGACCACAGCTGAACAGAAACTCAGCAGTGATTATTGCTCCAAAGAGACAGCAGCCACACTACTGAGAGGAGGGGTGGTCCTTTCTCAGTGCCCTTTTAGCCTGGGTAGGCTCCTGTGACCACAAAGGATATGGCCCAACAAAAAAGGATGCTGTAAACTTCAGAGGGTGCAGAGATGAGAAACAAAGATGATTAAAAGGCCTATGAGGAAAGCAGTTTTGTTCCACCTCAAGAGGAGAAAAGGCCAAAAGCCATTTTTCAGTGTATTTACGCAAAGATTTGTACGAAGGCATCCTGGACACTGGTTCTCTGTGTTAGGGGCAGGATATACATGAAGAAACCAGCTCAAGGTCAGGCTTAAGCACTTGCTGGAGAGAGGAACAGCTTTGCAATTCTAGTAGGGGATACGTAACGTGGAGAGGGGACTCTACCTACACAACGGCCTGCTCGCTGTTCCATGTCCCTGCCCTTGTTCAGCTGTGGTTTCCACAGTGGACATGCTGATACTAGCTGACGATCTGTATTCATCACTTCTTTCTCCTGGGCTGCTCTGCAGTCTGAAGAATTATCTGATTTACTGGGGTCTGTGGCTTCTGAAACGTATCCCCAACGGCCTATGGAAGCACTTGCTACAGAGGAGATACTCCATAAATGCTGAAGAAATGAATTATTATAATAGTTCATTATTATTGAGTGAATACTACTATTGAATGAATAATAATGAATTGTTATTATTATTCAGCGGTCACTGTCCTCCTTCTAAGGCCACTTCACAGCCCTGAAGGCTGCCATTAAGTCTCAAACTACTCCAGAATTCACTCTTTGCTCTACAGCTTTATTCACAGGGCTTGCTTGCAAATTTTAATGAGGGGTTCTGTAGCCTTCAAACTTGGGTGAGCAGACTCTTCCCTAAATTTGGAAGTCCAAATGTTTGGAAGACCGGGGTCTCACGGGACAGCTGCGGATGGGAAGTGACTTCCGAGACCCAGGCCCCGCACAGACAGGAAGCCGTCCTGCTTCATTACATCATGCCGCACTTATCAGTTAGCTTTCCAAAGTTAAACAATGTGTAATAATAAATATAGGCCAGAAGAACGTAATGCAGTACATGCATAGGATTACTACGCATTATACCCTACGTGAGGGTAGAAAACAAGATCTAATTTTAATGGTGACGTCTAAACTTCTCGTGCTGTTTCTTAAAGTTAAGCTTGAGAAAATGTTCCTCTTTTACTGTGACGGAAGGAAATCATTTTGAGCCAAAGTTATGTCCCATATGATTGTACACTTCTGTAATTACGTTTTAAGCAATAAAATGCAAGACCTAAATAAGCCTTTGCTTTGAACTACAGACCTCAACCCAAACGACTGCCCTCTGGACGTGCTGACCTCTGCCCTGCCGTCTGAAGTCACGCCCTGACTACACGAGGTCTCATTTTTCCAAGGGTGACCAGTGCCGATGACGGGCAGGCCCTTGTCGTGGGAGTGGCCGCACTGGCTCGCTCGGACAGCTTTTTTATTTTCTGCGTATCCGTTTGACAGCTGAGGCTCCGGGATATGGAAAAACAATTGTTTTTACATTAAAAAAAAATGGCTTCCAGCCCAATACGACCTCTGAGCAGACAACAGAGAAAGAAAAGGAGGGGCGACCGGGCGGCCGCAGTTCTCGCTGGGAATCCGGAAATCCTGACATCCCCCCTCTCTGGGACAATCCCCTGAAGGGATGAAGGTCTGCAGGCTTTGAAGTCAACAGGGGATGTGGCCCTTTTTCAGGGCCCGTGGTTTTTCCCCAGACAGACTCTTGTCCTGGAGGATGACTCAGAAGGAAAGCACAGCCGGGCAGCCGGGTGTCAGGCCAGAGGCTCTGCTTTGTCACCCCAGAGACCACATTCAGGGAGCATCTGTGTCGCCAGCTGGGCTAAACTAAGCAAACACAACCCATGCCACAGTTTCTGCTCAAATTCCCAAACTCTTGGGTGGTGCCTGAGATGCGCAGATGTGGGGACTTTTCCCCAGGAAACCTTGTACCCTGAAGCTATTTTAATTACCCCACTAACTTCCTTGCCAAGTAAATACTGTATGTGAATGTGAGAGTGGGCTTTCTGAGGGCTCTGGGGCTTGGGGACTCCCCTGGATGCCCCAGGCCACCCCTCCAGTTGCCAAAGCAGTCCCCTTGGAGGAGGTGGGACCTGGGCAGAGACTTACTAGTGGTCCATCCTGGCTGTCAGCAGGGCCCGGAGGGAGTGCTTTGCTCCCTGAAGCATCACAGGATTTCAATTAGCAAAAGCCCACTTCACAGGCTGTGTTTCCCACCATGTGTTTCCACTCACCATGGCAAAGCCCGAGAGGAGGGCGGACGTCCGGCTGGAGGCCTTCAACTTGGCCCTGCTCAGGTAGAGCTTCCTCCAGGAGAGGGCCTGCACAGAGTGGTGGTTGGAGGTGACCAGTTCCAGGTAGCTGCGGCGGACCCAGTCCCGGTAATCCATGCCCTTGTGGCCGGGCTCCGAGCAGGCAGGAGTGGAGGGGTCCACAGGTACGTTGAGCTCGGCGCTCATGGTGGGAGCCAGCCTGTGGGCGGCAGAGACACACTCAGGCATCCCAGAGGGTTCCCGGGGCCTGGAAAAGCCGGAATCCAAGTCCCTTTAACCTTCTCTGGGGGCCCACTGTATACACCCTGTGCCAGGGCCATGGGATCCAGGGGTGCATGAGTATGGGGCCCTGGCCTCTGAGGCAGTCCTCATACAGGAACGTGGGGACCACCTGCAGGAAAGTAGGGGCAGGAGTGCATCTCCAGGAACCATCGCAGCATCCAGCGTTCCTCCACAAAGCAGGAATCTGGCCTCCCACCCAGAGCTCAGAAAGGCTCCAACTGAGTGTGGCTCTTGGGTGAATGGAATTCCAAGGTTGACCAAAAGCACCTAAAGACTCCTCAGAGGTGCACCTATCTTCAGGGAGTAGGGAGCTGTAGTATTTAGGAAGCTTTTAGGACCTAAACTTCTGGATTTGACCCTGCCATGTGAGCGTGACACCTGACCTTTCCAACCTGCTTATCTTCACCTAGGGACATCCCCACCCTACCGGGCTCTTAGACAAGAGAGTGGAACCCAAACTGCTTTCCAATGGCCAGGTGCCAACCATGAAATCAACATTTCCAAGTAGCCGCTAATTTCTCAAATCCAACTTAGATTTTAATCAGCACAGTTCACCCTGAAAATACCTGGTTTGTATAACTAAGGCCACATCCAGGCTGCAATGGAAACCTTTAGCAAAATGAAAAACTGAATTGGCCAATTGACGTGAGCATAGTTTTTTGTAGGGTTTGTTTTTGTTCCGAGAAATGGAGGCTGGAGACCCCTCGAGTATCCCAGTAGACATCTGGTTTGACGATAACACACGATGAAGATCAGAAGGGCTGATCTGTCGAGATTTGTGAATTTAAACCCAAATCTCCACTAATCCAAATAGGGGATTGGTGGTCTTGCGTGGCCCAAGGGGCCGGCCCATGCAGCAGCCCACGGGATCAGCTCGAATTAATCTGCAGGGCAGGCTTCAAGGGCACAGGCACCTCACAGCTCACTTGGCATCAGATATTAACTTGTACCTTCAAGCCCGCATAGGCCCCGTGAAAAGCCTTCTTAAGGCTACCACAAAACAGAGCAGTGTTCCCAGGTTCCAGGGAGCCTGGCTGGGGGTGGGTGGGTGGAGTAGGGGGTGTTCACCAGGGTCAGCGGCTGAGGAAATGCCCCACACTTGATCTGTCCACGCCAATCCCTAAAAGGATTCTCTGGGAAGGTCCTAGAGGCGGGGAAGGCCTCTCTCTTTTGGGGTGCCTTCCTCTTTGTCTTCCACCAGGCTGCGGAGGCTCGGCTTTTACCAGCCAATAGGGCCCCGGGAAACAGTTCTGTGCTCTTCTATTTCTGCCTGGGATGCCAATTACTAGGTCATTTACAGGAGGGCCGACTTGGGAACCTTGGTCACCCCGTCCACATCTGCAGCCAGCAGCACTGCTTGCAAGCACTTCAATCACAGGAATGTCCCTTCCCTTGGGGAGAATTCAGAGAAATGTTGTTCACTAACCAATCCATTGGCTGGCTCCAAATAATTTAGAATGGCGTCATTTGGAAATACATTTTTTTCTCTTTTTCTCCCCCTACGTATTAGAAGTGAGCCCACAGGTATGATGAAGACACTGTCCAGTGTGTGCTGGGGTGAAAGGCACAAGCTTTGCCCCCTCAGAGGATCCGTCTCTCCATCCTGCATCCAATAAATGCTTCCTGAGCCCGAAGGTAAGACTGCATTTGGTACTTAAGGATCAAAGATGAAAGGTGAGGATGTCCAGTGGGGGAGTGAGATAGGGTGGGGGGATTCTCATCCAGTGAGTTAAATGCTGCTTTAGTGGAGGGGGTGTGAGGGCTGAGGGAGTGCAGGAGGGGCTGGCTGCCTCTACTCTTGACCCGGGAGAGGGGCCCTGCTAGGGAGCCAGGACAGGGACAAGGACATAGGTAGTGAAGGTAGCATTGGCAAAGAGGGACCCTCCCTCAAAGACAAGACGCTGCCCACATGGGAGCTTCTGAGAGGCAGGGCAGAAAAGCTAGCTGCAGAGGGGGTCAGGGAAACGGGGGTGGAAGGCAGGATGCAGGGAGTACATGGAGCCTGGAAAGTATGACTGTGCTGGACTTGCTCTGGAGGTGCCCGGATGCAGGGGCTTGGACGGAGCTGGTGAGGGAACAATGCAGGCTCAGTCTGGTCTGTGTGCTCAAACGCTTGGCCCGACTGGGAGGGGCAGGAGGGCCTGGTGGCCTCCAAAGGGATGTATGGGGTGAAGAGGGAAGCACAGGGACCATCAATGAACGAGAGCTGAGCTCAAATTGGAAAGGGGAGAGCTTCATGGGCAGTGAGGTCAGACGGCGGCCTCTGGGCCATGGTGGCCTCTGGGCAATAGGCAGGCCAGCCTCAGCCCTGCAGATGTCCTTCGAGTGGCAGGGTTTGGGAAGGAAGGGCTGTCTGTCTGCTTGGAGCCTGGGTCTTGAGGCAGGCCTGTGGGTCCCGAAGACAGAGAAGCCACTTCCTGCAGAGGGAGCAGCCCAGACTGGATTCAGATCCATCCTCACCCTTCCAGCCCCAGCGTCCTACCCTGGGCCAGGCCTCGGCCCCCTGCCTCCCCAACTCCAGGGGCAGAGTCTGGTCCTCACACTCCAGGGCTGGGCTCAGGCAGGGAGTGGGGTGGGTCAAGATGGAGCCCTGCGTTGCTGTCAGGTGGCAGAGGCTCCAAAGGATGCTCTCCTGGCTGAACCTTGTGGGTTTTTTGGTTTTGTTTTCATATAAGGGGCAGTCAGAGAAAAGAGGTCTTGTAGCATAACAGTGATGCTCTCTCTAAAGATTAGCTATTCTCCTTGGCAGGGCTGTTGGAAACATTTCTGGGCGGTAGGTTTTGGGGTTTGCCTGCCTTAACTTCCTTTAAACATCTGGGGCACGAGCAATGGCGAGTGCCACGCAGAAACGCCTGTTTCTCTCTTTTTGTCACACCCGTGCAGGGCGGGGGCCCAGCCCCTCCTGCTCCCCTGGGTCTCCTAGAGGAGTCCGCTTGCATCCCTGTCCCTTCCCCTCAGGAAGCCCCAGCAGCCGCAGGACCCGCATTCAGCCCTCACCCGCGACCTGAGTCCTCTCGGCGCCGCACCCTGCCCGGGGAGCCCGCCGCACCCTGCCCAGGGGGGGGTCACCTGGCCGCCTCCCAACCCCGCAGACGTCGCGCGTCCCAGGCCTGCCCAGGAGGAAGCCGGTCCCCTCCCCCGTCGAGTCTCCTGGTGCAATTCCAGTCCCCCGCCAGACCCCCCGCGGCGAGCACTCACCGAGCTGCTCTGCCCGCCCGGCCCGGCTCCGGCTCGGGCTCGCGGCAGGCGGCGCTGGCGTGGCCGTGTGGCCCTGTGGCCCAGTGGCCCTGTGGCCCGGCCGGGGCGCCGAGCGCGGCCCCCACCCTCCTTCCGCCCGTCCCTCGGGGTCCCCCGGCCCCGCCCCCGCCAGCTGCCCCGCCCCCCGCCGGCCCGCCGCAGCC